AAGATCTATGTCTGGTAACAAATCTTGTTTTTATAAAAATGAAGGAAATAGAAGTGCCGGAAGTACGCATTGACATCGTCTAAAATACATTACAAAAGAAACAAAGTGTTGATAATACATTTTTTTCTTCTTCAGTTACTGTAATGACTTGATAGGTAGTGGATGCATGCTATATTTTCCACAAAACACCCGGTAAATGTATTTGGGAAACACATTTTTATATTATCACAAACTGTGAATGAGAAAAAAATCATTAAAACTATAAAATTACAGTTCTTATCTCGAAAACGACATTAATTGAGAATCATGTTATCAGGCAATTGCTTTAAGAAACTTACATTTGATAAATAATCATGTTAAGAGACCTTATCCGAAGTATTGTCTAATTATATAATAGGAATATAACAAACCTCGACAGAGATAAAGGAAAATGCATTCAAAATTGCATTTCTTTAATTGAATATTTAAATATGATTTTCCAAGCGAAACAAATAACTCAGCTTTATAAAACTTTGCAATAATTTGAAATCATTTAATAGGATAATTCCTTATCATTGTATATAACGTGTTTAGGCTTTTGTTATCATGGTCTAGTATTATTAACTATAGATTACTGTAGGGTACACATTTTAAGCATAATATAAGAATTGTTTGAACAGTGAAGAAACAATTTTTCATTCTTCTAAGATCATATAAACAAGCGGCTGGTATAATCAAATTCATAATACGATCCTATTGATGTTTAGAAAAGAATAGAACAGTCATTAATTTGTTTGAATATATTAGAAATAATGACACTATCGATTTGTAGTCATTCCTCCTTAATAGTTTCAAATATGTCATTTTACATTACTCTTTATAATTAAACGCCGACTTTTTATAATTTATTACAAATAAATCTAAAGCAGTCTTTTTTAAAACTCATTCACACTTCTTTTATTTCGACAATGTGTCTTAAGATAGAAGGAGCAAGCCGAATTTGTTTCTGGTTTGCTTGATACTCGAGTCTATATCTTTATACAGAATTTTACAGTTCAGTAGCAATATATCAAATTGATGAAATTGCCGGCATTTTGGTCAATAGCAATAAACTTAAGGCTTAAAAGACAGACTGACAACCTTAAGATTTATCAATTTCCCCTATAATGATTGGAATGTTTATAACAGAACAGAATAACACTATTTATAACACAAGGAAGTCGACCTTTTGTTCATAAAAATTTAAGCATAACATGAGAGTTGTTTTAACAATTAAAAAACTACTTGTCACAAAAACAATGTCTCTTTAAATTAGTATACCAAAATGTTTGATGTATTGTTTAATATAAATAATGTTTAGTTAGAAAACCACGCAAAATTTCAAATAAAATCACTAGAAATTAAAAGTAGTTCATATTAGCACTTCAGCGTCAATATCAGTCTACTTTAATGAATGTAATTTAATTGTATATTACGGCATGCATTTTCTTTAAAAATGATGGTGTTTAAATTAATATTTTTATCAATACCAATCACTTAATATTTTTCTTGTTTATATAACTATCACGGCCACAACGAAATACAAGTCATTTTACAGCTGTTGATTTTATGAATATTTAGAATTGTTAAATTGTATTAATCTTAGCATTGTTTTTCTGCTGCAATTTCAGCATATCGTTGTGTAATTAGAAACCCAAGCATTAGTAGTGCCATTTGATATCAAATAAACGAGCCGTGGATATAACATTATGATAATTTCTAAATGATGACTTGATTTGAAATGGCTACTTTGTACAAAAACATGTTTTCATACTATATGATATTTCAGCTGGATGTCGTTATTCTTTTACTGAGGTACTGAAAACCGAAACAAAACAAATGCTACTGTTGATAGCTTTAAAAAAATGAATAACACTTTAAGGTTGTAGAGAAGACGGTTTTACTGGGTTCACAAGACCAAACGTAGAAATGATCCCTACATAGTGTCAGAAATATAAATCAAATGAACGGATCAAAATTGGTTTAAGATACCAAGCGTAATCATAAAAGAACATTATGACATTTAAGCCGCCATACTGGAAATATTCTTATATTTGATTCTACGATATTTTGAACTATTCAATTGAAAAATAAATACATCATGGCCCTTTGAAACTAGTCACCTACTATATGTTCTTTAAATCATATATAATATTTAAATCTGATTTAATTAGTGAATCTACCAGTTCATTTTCAGACGAGGACATATTTTCCTCTTGCTCACAATTTCTCCAAATCAAAAATATTGACATTGTTTTTGTTTTATTATACATCAGGACATCTGATATTATGTGCCATGATTTAAATGTAGGAATTCATGGCTTTTCACTTAAGATATATATAAGAATATAATGAAAATCACTATGTTTTAAATTCGGCAACACGACTGAAAGAAAACAAACGTACAAAACACGTTTCCAACTCAACGCTTGTGCTAATTTCCCTAAATTGTATTAAAAAATATCAAACATGAATAGTTTTTACTGGCAATAATCCTACTTACTTCTCATCTAAGTTGTATTATTTTGATTTAAAAATAAAATATGTTTCTTCTGTGATCATATGTCTCAGAGGAAATGAATTTGTTTTATTTTAATTAAATATAATTTTGATATGAATATGACAGCATGTATATTTAATTTGAAAACCTGGTAACTTCGGTATTGACTCAGTAAATTGCCATTGATGGTGGAAAGAACTTATTCAGACGAATGCAACCTTGCTAAATCCTACTTGATTTCTGCATACAAAATCATCTTACAGTAATAAGTAATATTCTCATGTGAATATGTGAATACATTATGTAAATTATGTTCTCTTGAAATATTCACAAAATTAAGGGAATGAATACGGAATGCAAATTTGTTGATAATTGAATTATCACTTGTTATTGAAATTCATCTTTCATTGATATTCAAAGCAAAACAAACACGGCACATGAATGTCTTTGCACGCATGGACATTTATCAGTAAACATGTAATTGTATATATTTCAAATGATAATTATAATGATAATAAAAGGAATCAGATATTGAGGCTGACTTACTACTGGTAATAAAAATAGTTCAGTTTCCTTTTTTGCGATAAGATAAAAATATCCTAATTAATCTTTTGTTTTCTTTACCTTCAATCATCTCTTTTCCCCAGCATACATTTTAGAATTAAGTAACTGAATAATAAACTAAATACTTTTTTGAAAAATTACACAAATATAAAAAAAAATGTAAAGAAAAGGTCAATCAAATTATATTGATTTTGGTAAGTTTACCAAAACAGCAAATAAACGGATTGGTAACCTTAATTCAAAATGAACTTTAATGCTACACAATAAAGACAATTAAACAATGTAATCTTTCAGGAAATTACAAATATCTTTTTTCAGACTGTTAATTTGATAGATAATGAGTTTGTCTTTCTTAAACATCAGAACCAACTTATTATTGAGCATCAATTATTGTACATTGTCCAAAGAACGATCAATATGGAATGATTTCTCTTGATTATTTACGTAACTGTAAGAAATATATGAATATGATGCATTTACAACGACATTTGATAACAAATTTAATTCTTTAAAATATTTATCTCTCTAACTTCGCTTTGATCCCAATGCTTCTTCAAATTTCTAACAGAATGAATAAGATGCAAAAGGTCTTGCAGAATGCACCGCTTATGTCAATAAAAAGTGTCATCGAATGTATTTGCAATCCATACCTTTATCGAGCAGGATCCCCACAATATATCTTATATTTTACTTCAATCGGAAACTCTACGTAAATGCTTATTCTTTAGTCAATCTGACGTGACATTTTTATACTGATGCTCTGTCTATTATGTCATTTTGTTTTGCAGTTTATTTGCGATTTATTTGAATAAAAAAACATTATGACATCTAAAGAATAGTAATTCTGTACCATAAAAACACAGAACGTCACAAGCAGAAATCAAGTGATGAAGTGGGATATTTAATAACTAAATAAGGTCATAGGGATATGGGATTTGAAATGTAACATAGAAATGATATTTTTTAAATTGTGACTATGTATTTGAAATACTCTTTAAAGATTAGTCTTCAACCACCTTTTTCATCAAAAATAGTTTTCAACGGGATTGTTATAATGTCTAATTAACGTATAGACAGATTACTTTAAATAATGATCCTTTGCCCTCCGTGCTGTATTTATTTCTCTGCACATATCACTTCATTAATGCTTGTTTGCATGATTATAATTACAAAAACAGTACAATCTGAATCGGATCTGATTCATTCATGCATAATGAAGTATGTGTCAATATTAAGTACCTGACTTTATGGTAATAAATGAATAATTTATAATCCAATCGGCGCAAAAAAGCATTCAAATGCTGATAATATGTCCGGTTAGTGTGAAACTGATTCGGAAAACAAAAACGAAATGAAGGCGAATATCAACTTTTCTTGTCTACTACTTTCTTGCTTGTTACAATTTCAAGCAGCGGTTAAAAATGGTCTGGGAGAATATGTAAACAAATATTAATACTTTACAAATGGAAATGCTTCCTCTAAAACAATCGATTAAAACTGTTATTCTGACTGATTCCAGCAAATTACATATATTGCTTTCTAAATTTCGTAGTAAATACTCTTATTTGTTTTAAATTGAAACCTTGATAGTATCACATACAATTGAATTATTATTTCATGTCGCATCTTGTCAATAAAAGTCTGCTCTATTTTGAATTAACACATATATGTATATCGTATACTTAAATCGGGTTGCTTCAATGCATTTCAAATACTTTTTGTCGGTAAAAATATGAATATGAGGAAATGTTATCAAATAGATGATTTCAAGTATACATTTATAAGAGGTCTCTTTCTGTTTGCATGATATACTTCATTTTCAATCGCGAGCACTGTTCACTCACTACAGCTTATTTCCGATACTTCTTTATTAGCTATGACATAGTTATTGGAAAACAATTCACGGTCTCTCCAATCACCACACTATAGATATTCAACTTGTAGTTTGTGTTAGAAGGCTTGATAAGAGATCGCAAAACATTCTTTCACGGATTTAAATGTTCTTCAAAATGTGAAAATGATCATTGTTTTTTACAGTAACGAAAAAAGAAGAATAACATATACAACGTGTACAATTAAATGACTGGTACAGAATGCTTAGTATGATCAACAACAAATATGTGACATTTTGTTTAGGATACCGGCATTGAAAATTATGAAAAGTGGATTAAGTAAAATGTTAATAATGACCGCAATGTTCGAAACAATTTTATCAGGTAAGTTTTATTGTAATTTTATTATAGAGTAATATAGAAATATAGAAGAAGTTCATAGACAATTCCGAGTTAGTTTAAGGGAGAAAATTATATAAATAAGCTTTTAACAAAAATAGAAAAGATTCCTTTATAGCTTTGTGGCCAAGATTGCGATACAAAGGCATGGAAAAGGAAATTGTTTAAGAATTTCCCCTTACGATCACGGACCTGACATTGAGATTTTTTTAAAGAAAATGTGGAATTATATCTATTATTCAAATGGGAGTCAACAAAATTGTTGTTAAAATAGTTCATAAAAAGATAAAAGAAATTTTATAACATATGAAATCAAGGTTAGTTATCAGAACAGACACGGTGAAAATGCATTTTAAGTGTTCATTTTACCTGATTTTATCCTTTATTTGACTGTGATGCAAAGCAGATAATTTTTAAGTCACATAAATATATTTTAAATAGTTTTTTTTTTCAAAATCTTTAAGGAAAGTGAAATAACACAAACTTTATCCTGTTCCTCGTAACACCTGTTAATATTTTTAATGCAAGTCACACTAATTGTCACTTCTCAAAATCAATAAACATTGATGAGATCGGTATATATAAAAGTTACTTAAATTACGATTTTTATAATTGTACATGATTAACTATGGTCATGGTACTGAAACGTTCCGGTTGAATGATATTATTGCTGGAAACAAACAACCGTGTCGCGTGTCAATCTGTTTGACACTTACCGCCTGGCCAATCCAAAAGGAAGTGTACAAAACACATTGTGTAATTATGTAATACAGGGGTAATAAAATTTAATCTTTAACACGCTGCTGTTTAAATTTAAATTGCAGATGAAAAAGTCGTCTAATGATACCTTAAACAGACGACTTTTGTGTGCCCCTTTTTACCATTGGATTATTAGTCCCCCATATTTATTATATCTGTTATAAACATCAATTAACGTTTTAAGTACTTACCGCTTTAAGTCATCCCAAAATTACAGTTTTTTGGTTGACAAAACATGAATTCACGACTATTAAAGCCTTAAAGTATCATACACTGTTCTCAACTTTACTGCGCTTTTGCCCTACGCAGAATGCGCATGCGCGAAATGCAACATCGGTAACTATGGAAGAATCCTATTTTAAAAATGTCTATAAGATTGATGAACTTAAGTATCAAGTAAAATAAATGTGTAAGAGAACAATGAACAAATATTTTTGCCTTATTATTTTGGTAATATTTTTATTATGGAATATATACCATCAAAATACATATTAATATTGCTAGATAGATGCCCTTTTCAGAAGGCATATACGTCCAAGTATCGTTCATTACAAATCAACATTGAATAATCCAAAGCTGGCATGACTATTCAGTTAAGTTTCGGGAAGTAAATAAGAATTTTGAAGACATCGTTTGTTACAACAATGAATGAAAGCTCCAAAAAATTACATGATAAAATGTTTTAAAATTATACACCATCAATATATATATATATATTATTTTTTTTTTATTTCAGTTCATGCATTTAAGTGCTGGAAGTGTATTGCGCACGACTGTAACGCTAACCTTGAAGACAACTACAAAGCAGCAAAGGTCAAATGTCACGAAGGTCAAATGTGTATGGTAAGAAAACTAAATCTCTAATATTTTAAAACAAACTGAATCACTATTACACTTTCTTCTCCGTTATGTTGAGACTTAATAGTCGAACTTAGTAACTGTACTTCGATACTAGACGGTTCTTTTGTCAACAAAATCAAATAAATTTCAAAATATCTTTAAAACAGTCAATTAATGATACTTATAAAATGAATTTGCTTTGTTTCAGAAAGTACGGTACAGAATGTTTGACAATGTGACACACTATGATTCTGTTATACGGACTTGTACAGACTCTAATTGTGACACATCCTCTATAGATGATTTCTTCTCGTGTATTGCCAACCCTGCAAAATACATGATCGGAGGTTGCACATTGCGTTCGTGTTGTGATGACAAGGATCTGTGTAATATAAGTTCTAACATGTTGACGCCAGTGTTATTTATTACACTTTTTACAATAAGTATAGCGCATTTGATAGCATAATGCGCTAATAAGGCGATTATATCTAGTATATCTCGTGATTAAGGATATTCCTAGTGTTTTCACAAATTGTATTTCTACCCAAAAATGTCATTGATACAATGAATTTAGAATATGGGAAAACATATTATTTAAGACGCGTTGTTCTGTCAGAAACACTTTAGAAAGACCTTTACTTGTACGTTTGAATATATATGAATACAAAATATACACGTATGCCTTTTGAATTGAGAGAAAAGAATGTTATAAATTGAACAGATAATTACAAAATAAAACTAGGGAACATTTCATCTTGTTTCATGTTGGATTTTATACAAGGTGATTAATAGTTGCGATTAACTTAGTTTAAATGTTCTTAAATGACAATCACATGTGATGTTCCCGTTTAAAGTGATACGTTACGATTATTGTATTATGTTACTTATCGGCATTATATTGCAAAAGATGTGAAAATAAAGGACGAAAATAAAAAGTAATTAATTAATAAATCGAATCCAAATATATTAATGAATTTCTGTATACATCCTAAAAGTTATCATTAAGACTATCCTACTAAACTATAAAGATTATGTTATTGAAATGATAAATTTGTCTTTAGTGTATGGTTGCATAATGTATGTTTCTGAACAATGATATTAGAATATCATTAATGACATATTATTTTAATCATAAAACGGGAAATTACACATTGAAAGATACAACGGTAACTCCGTAAAATTAAAGGCTCAAACCGAAGTTTTAAAATTGTCATGATATTTTTTTTATATAATTTGTATATTACTCTCAGTATGTTTAATGATCAATCAATTAAAATTTAATGCCGAAACAAAATGTTGTCATTGAATCTTGATCTATACATTGTATTCTCATGTATTTTGTTTGCTTTAAAAATAACAAAAATATTTAAAGCACTTTAACATCAATGAACCAAATATTCTCATGTATTTTGTTTGCTTTAAAAAGTTAAAAAAATATTTAAATCACTTTAACATCAATGGACCAAATAAAATGCAAATACTCATCTTTATAATGTGACAAACATAAAGGTAAAGCTATATAGCTATAGCTGACTTAAAAACGTCAAAATAGCATTAAACACAGCAAACTGTTGTTGCACTAAATATCGTTTCTAAATGATTACATCTACATGATCTATATTCATTTGTCTATAGCCGGAATGACCACTTTGTCCACTACAATTAGGTACATTAATATACAAATATACTGTACAAATGGTTGTTTGATAATTTCTGAAAACAGTATTAATATTATAAAGTATGTCGAAACAAATGTTTGCGTGTTATTCCATATCAATGCCTGATATGTTTGGCATTCTTCCACAATAGGCTCATTTTCCTATTCAGAAACAGAAAACATATTAAACTCATTTGTGCTTGACGACTTGTTATGTCAAAACAAATAATCGGGTATTGATGTACACTTATGGAACATTTTCTAAATACATGTATGTATCAAAGAACATTTCTTTTAGATATAAGATATGGTGCACTTTTACATTATCTACCATGAACACACTCAATTAAACCGATTTTTTTTTCATATAAAAAATTTATTCCAATGCTTTCCAGAGACCCCTTTTCACATTCCTTGTTTGCAATTTGTGCTTGATTACTATTTGACCATGATAAAATAATTATGAAATAAAGAAAATTTATTTCGTAGACAAATTTGAATTAGCACATTAACAACGTAACAAACGATTTAACATTTGTTTTTATTTTTGAATAGTGTTCTATCATAAGCAATATGTAATGTGATTGATAGCAAATGTTAAATAGCTTTTGATGATATACTTTGTTTTCGTTTTGTACAATTATGTAAGCCATTTTCATGTATGATGATCGAGTATACTTACATATTTTATCTTATCATTATAAATTAAAGTCGATTACTTTAAGAAGCAAAATTGTTAATTTATAATCTCTTCATCTTTTCTATTATTAGAGTTACTAGGTGTAAATAATCGAAGACATATTTAGAAAATATGTCTAGGATAATAAAATCATCCACATATAATTGTTGTAAATTGTCTATGAAATCCCATCTGAAATCATTGTAAAACAATTTGTCTGAATAAAAACATCAAACTTCAAACTTGTTTATGAATACGACGTTTTTATGAGCTGCTTTTAGTTTAATTCTCAACTATCTTTTAATACAAGTCTGAAATAGGTTTGATGATAGAAAAATCAACAACATCTGAATATAATTTTTTTTACTTATCAACGTTTCGGCTTACGCTGCATTGCCCTTGAAGTGTTTTATATTATGTGACTTGTTTTCTTTGCAGATAAACATATATAGCTAAGTTGTTATGTAAAAACAAATGCAATCAATGAGAAACATTAACACAATGATGTATTATATACTTCATATGCACAGGTTGTTACTTTAGAAAAACAATTTAATAAACACTCACTCCTTGTGAAGAAGTAACGGATTTTACTTTAATAATTTCAAATGCACTTCCCGAAATTCAAATAGTCGAAACTTATATTCTGCATAAATAAAGTAAAAATTCTTTACATAATCCGTTAATTGATATAGGTTTGATATATTGGTATGTACTTGCCATCAAAATTGTTCAAAATTTTGGCATCATTGGCAAAACGTGATTTTTTATGAAGAAAGAAATATTGCAGCACTCGATGAAAGTCTTCCAGAAAAGAATTATGTTTACTTCACATTCCTGTAAAGTTTCATTCCAGTAATTACATCTCCTGGGACGTTATTTTGTGCAAGTAGTTTATTCTTTGTAAAGTAGACTGTGGCATTAATGGAAATAAACTGATAAGAGGTGCGAAAATGCCATTTACATGCATAAGGAAAAGGTAACAACAAAAAAACTTCTCTATTGACAAAAATACACATAAACAAATGTAAGATAATTGACATTTAGAATTAAAGGAGTGTAATCTTTACATGTATGACAAAAAATTGTTTAAAAAAAAAAGATATATTTTCACAGACGAACATAGCATACTGATAACACTTATTATAAACATTAATTTATTGAGCTTTGCAACATTAACTTCAAATGAACAACAAACGATCTAACATTTTCCTTAAGTAATCCATCTTATTCAAAATGTTTTAAATATATGTGATAAAGATACTAAATAAAGCAACGAAAATATTTTGGAAATATAGGATTCAGTAAGATAGTAATCAATATAAATGATATATTCAACGGACGAACTTATGTTAAAATAATTTCGCAAATAACGGTGGTAAAACAGATACAATATTTACTTGTTTTATATTGATGGATCTTGTATGTATGCAAATTATTCGTGTTGAAAAGTTATAATAACGTTTAAATTATTCTTACTTGTTTTCGTTTTCAAGCTGAGATGAATTATATCCATATTTCAGCACTGACCTTTTAAGGGTAATTGATCAAAAACTAATAATTACAAATGTTTTGGATAAAATATATAAACTGTCTTAATATAAAGAGATTGCCACACTATTGTTATTAACTGAGCGTTACCGATACATTCTAATGAATGTTTTTAGAACGTTCGGGTGCAACTTGGGTGACTGAATATTTATTTAAAGTGTAATAAGAAATCAGAATTAAACAATTAAACATAGCAAACATTTACACTTTTTACTTTTACATGTTTTCGTAAGAGTAACACTTTGTTTGGCACAATGTCATTTTAAAAATTTATTAAAATAATCAGTAACAGGATTTTTCAAATAATCAGCAAGACTCATTAAAAAAATAGTTATGTAGGGTATTGCTTCAGATTTTTACACACTGCAACACAATAGTCTACTTATAAAACATTGAAATTGAAGAAACCTTTATCGTTTTAACAGAACCTTGGGCTTATTGTTTTGTTTCAAAATAATTCAAATACTTTCTTTTTTAAACTCATTTTGGTGCTCAGTTACAAAATTTAATTGTCATGAAAAACAAAAGAATCCCGCATATTTAAAACATGTCACGTATGAAATGTATGATAAATATATTGCCTAAGCTTGAAATAAATTGTTTTAATCGTTTTCACATTTTGTACCAGACTGTGGAATAAAAGATGTGTAACATATGACAGTTGATTTGGACAAAACCATCGTTGTTCAATTTTTTAGTATTTTTAGATTCAATCGTTTACACATAGATCTACTAGCTAGAATTTATAACATTCGCAGTGTGAATATCTATTGTGTAAAGTATGACATACAACAATATTTGGAGAGCTATTTGGTAATAAATTCAGTGTACGATGATGTAACGTCAAAACTTTTATTGAAGATTTACCCACACTTGGAAATTACATGACACTAAAACTTCTGGTATAGGAACGCTGTATGTTTCGAGTTAATCAATATATTGTCGGTATCATGTCTTTGTAAAATAAACTCATCTATGAATAATTTGTAAACAAATTGAAACCATATTTCCTCTGAGTTTGTTTTTATATGATATTTACATGATATTTAAAATGATGTTTCTAAGAATATTTTACTTTAATAGATGTTTTTGATGCTAAAAGCTTAGCAGTTTATGCCTAAAATTAAACATGACCGTTTCATAAATCCAAACAGACAAATGTTAAAACATTTGCACATTAAATATTAAACTTGAAAAGAGTATTATCAAAGCTCATATCTCAACAAAATTTTAAAAGAATTGATAACTGATTTAGCCAAGCCAGACACTGTTTTGAACGATATGATATCCGGTTAGTTGTTTTGACAACATGTCTTATCATACGATAACTATCTACGACAAAATGGATAAAAATATATGGATGCATTTAATATTTTGCTGAGAAATAAGGTGACATTAAGAGTTTTCAAAAGTTTTAGATGCATGCATGCTTAAAGATGTTTAGAAACATCTTAATATGAACCAGAAATAAAGAATTCAATTGTTAATTAACCACTTGACATTGAAATTTCTATAAATATGTTATAATTAAATTTGAATATGAAACTCAGAAATTTGAATAATATTACTAAATAACAAATCAGATAACGCCATTTAATAATAATAATTACTAACAATGACTAAAATAACAACTATAAGACAAAAAAACAAAAAACAAAACAAAAAAAAAATTATTTCACATCTTATAAAATGTTATAAAAGTTTACCAGATGACCTTCTTCTAGTCTTTGCATAATGTGATCTCCAAATATAAATAATTACAAATAAATTTAGAATTTCGGTTGACCTACTCAGGCTCCCGTTCGCGTCTGAAATAATGCACGAAGTGGCATCTGAGGTTTTCTTCCATAAGTAAAACTGGAAAGTCAACATATGACCTTAACATTAATGCAGAAACACATAATAGAACAAACGAAAAAGAAAGAAGATGCATATAAACATGAATATTATCAGTTTAGCCTCATGTTTCTTTTTCCTAAAATATCAATACTTAAAACAAACTGTACCCTGTCTAGGCGGGTTTTAAAATCTGTGAATCCAGATATTCCATTTTAAATCCATATTGTACTGAATCTAGCTGCCGTTTTATATTCAGAGTCAAATCATACTTGTTAGTATATGTTCTTGTAATTAAATACAAAGACAATGTCTTTAATATGATGTGTTTGCTATAAGAGAAATAATTGTGGGGAAAAAAGGTTGTTAGACATTGTTGAGAACAAAAACTAAACATTGGTCTCGTGCACAACTGCAAAACCTAAATTACACCTGGCTAGATCCTCTTCGAATATAGGTTTTACAGCTATATGCATGTACTTGTTCAATAGATTTCAGTATTTTCCTCATCGACAAATAATGACCTCATATTATTTCGCACATAATGAAGTACAACCAACGATCTTCCAACGTTTGAACCCAGTGATGTTCCAATTGAAATCATTATTGGACATTAGCCCTC